GGGCCCACGCTGTTCTTAGAGGATTTCTCAGAAACGCTTAGTTATAACGGACGCAAAAACCAAAACACCGATCTGCTGCTTGTTATTTCTTTATTGTTACACCAACATATAAAAGGAATAAACGAACTAAGCAACTAAGGTCTGAAAACTAATATTACAATAATAAATCATTGTTACTTCTGACGATGTTTCACTCTTCTTTCTGAACAGCGACCGATGAGACGATGACTGTCGTATTGATGCCTCCGCGAAAATTGGGGAAGTTGATTTTGAGCAAACAACCAAGAATTGATCGTTCAATCTTCAACTCCTTTGACAACTATATTCAAGTTTGGGACGGATACATGTCCTGTATATAGCTAATCTCGCTTCTTGAGTGTAGAAGTTACGCATTACAAAGCCAGTAAGTCGTTTACAGTCAGATACAACCTTGTTTGCATGATCGGAAAAGGATAAATCTGAGTATGTTATCCCGAGATCTGTGACTGTGTTCAGTTTTGAGAGGAGCTTACCGTACATATATAGGCACATTATTGGTTTCCAGCGTCCAAGGTGGGTTATACCGCACTTGTCTGGGTTGAAAGTCAGTTGTCACGTTTCGCTCCAATCGCCTACATCGTTTAAGTCTTGTTGGACCTTGCTTTCGACGCTCATATCACTGAACCCATAATCATATTCTATCTTGAGATCATCTGCAAAAAGGTATGGCTTGCCATACTTGATTACAGAGACTATGTCATTTATAAATAAGAGGAACAGAATAGGGCCAAGAACACTACCTTGTATTACACCACTGGTTATCGGCTTTGAGGAAGACAACTGGTGGTTGATTTTGACTAATTGCTGTCTTTTTGTGAGAAAAGAACTTATCCATTTGTGAAGCTTTCCGGTTATTCCGTAGGATTGGAGTTTTGTTAGGAGTCTGATATGTGGGACTTTATCGAAGGCCTTGCTAACGTCGAGAAACAATGTTGTTACCGAACGCCCATTATCAATGCTTTGTGTAATGTAGTCGAAATAATCTAAGTGGCAAGTTATGCACGACCTTCTACTTAAGAAACCGTATTGGGATGGGAATAGTAGGTCATTTGACAGCAAGTACTGAATGATTTGAGTCTTAACTATCTTTTCCATTACACGTGAAACTTCAGACGTGATGTTGATGGGGCGGTAGTTGTTGATATCAGCTATAGGCCCGCATTTATGGATAGGTACAATGTAAGACTTCTTCCAGCAGTTAGGGTATGTCCCATCGCTTAATGAAATTGAGTATAACTTGAGTACTCATGTAATTACCACCTTTTTTCAGCAGAACAGAAGATATACCGTCTGGACCAGTAGTGTTACTAAGCTTAAGATTTGCGAAAGCTTTATCGATCTCATATGTGGTGAAAATTATGTCACTTAAACATTCGTCTGTTTTACGTGGGAAATCCACGACTTCATAGTTCTCTAAGGTGTATAATCTGGCAAATTGCTTGCTAAACAGTTCACATATCGCCTCATTATTTTCGTAAGCAATGCCGTCTAAGTATTTTATTTTCGGATAGGGTGTTTTGGAGTTCGTCAACCTACTTTTAAAAAGTTTGGCTATTTCTTCTGAGTTATGCGGTGCGTGAATGGCCTGCATTTCTTTGTTTCTGAGGCCTATATTTCTCAACTCTTCAATTCTACTGAGAAGGGACGTAATGGCAATTAGTGACGATAAGTCATGATATCTGTAGTATTTTATTGAGTGCTTTCGTAGACTTCTTCTAAACGATGTCGGAATATAATCGCTTTGGGGGAATCTGAAGCCAAGAATCTTCTCGGGTTCAATGACGTCATGGATTGAGTTAATATTCTGATAAAAGTTGTTAAGAATTGCATCTAAGGACTCGTTTGAAAATTACGAGTCTCAATTAGAACATCTAATTAGGTGCTGATACAAGTCCCAGTCAGCATGTGTGTACAATCTCATAGGTATCTTGCCAGCTTCATCCCTGCGTTTTGTTTCAGGGAAGATGTCAAAAGAACACACTACCATTTTGTGGCCACTACCTGGAAATTCATGTCCCACATACACTGTAGATGGTGTTATGTTCGTGAAAATTAGTTCTAGGTTATTTGCGGATCTAGTGGGTGAATTTATGTGTTGTGTCCACCCTCCTGTGACGATGGAATTCATGAGATCATCATACCTTTGGGGTCCTCGAAGTGAAGACCATGATACTTCTGGCAAGTTGAAATCGCCTCCGATAATTTTATAACTGAAAGGAAGATTGGCTGTAACATTAAAGATATTGCTAAGCATATTATCATATTCCCTGCTGGATGAAGGGGGTCGGTACACACAACCCACAAGTATAGGTTTACTTATGTTAATAATAATATATATTTCTTCCTGTTTATGCAGGAACATACCAATTGTACAGGCATGGATAAGTTATTATATAAATTACACATGATTTGATGTATAATGGATTTACAGTTTCGTTGTTCTTTCTGACATCAAAGTCAGTCGGAACAGTCTGCTATAAAGTTTGTTTGTGTAGCACATAAAGAGATATAGAAATATTGTCTTCGCATTAACAAAAAACCCAGACATCACATGAATGTAATACAGATATATGGGAAAAATAAAGCTTGAAGTCAATTCTACTATATAACTTTGTTGTGAACAGCACCCTTGGCTTAAAGATTATTGATGTATTGTGTTGAGATCAGTGATATATTTATTCCATTTTTCAGTAGTCTTATCGTAGTTTTATAACAGGAAAGAAATTTGATCGTGGATACGAAAACTAGATAAGGTCATGTTGGGTTGTTTTACTGCATCAAGTGGTGCCGAGGTCGATTCCAGAATTCTCCATTTGCTCCATTTGTGTCTGCATGGCGGACTGTATTCGTAAGTTGAGTAAAATGTTGAAAACCTATTTGGAGACCAGTTGCTTCTTCATTTCAAATCATGAATACTCATTTACAGCATGTTCGCCAGCGTCTTCAAATGGTAGAATTGGATAGTTCCTGGAATTTGAGTGGTTATGAGATAGACTGTTTGGAATTAATCCTCATTTCAGTCTAGATGCAGGGTTGTTCGACCTCGACCATAAGATGAATAGGAGCAGCAAAATACCAGAAAGAGAAAGTATGTGAACTTCTGACAACTTTTATTTCTACCCAGATCGAGTCATTGAGTTGTGACAGAATTGGGTTACTAAACTGGGTTGCACGCATGGATTGTTCACAGTAAATTAGTGTTCCACCCCCACGACCTGTCCGTCTGTCCCCTCGAAAAAGGTTGTATTTATCAATCCTTAGGCTGTCATTGGAGATTTCACTTGTGCACCAGGCTTCGGTGATCATAACCAATGACGGTGTGCATATAGAAGCTAATGTACTTAGTGCTAAGTGTTTGCTTAGAACTGATCTCGTATTTACTAGGATAATAGATAAACACTGGCTATGTGGTTTCAGTGAGCTGACAACATTTTGGTAAAATAATCCGTGAGTATCCTCTATATACATGTTATCAGATGTGAATTTCTCCCGAAAGAAATCCGAAACGATAATCCAAACTATAGATTTAACCACACGTAGAGTGACGCGTAAAGTCCAAAATACAGGATATTCTGCAATACGGTACTTTATTACATAAAAATAGATATATAATATACAAACCTCAAAATGTGAGGTGTCTGTGGCTAAATGCCGTCAAATGCACAACCACTGTGCAGTCAATAAGTAAAAACAGCAATGCTGTGTCAAGGTCGATCCACGCGTCGGTTCAAACGGCCCGCGAATGCCAAGCAAAGAATAAACAAATATGAACAAACAACTTTCAATAGTAAAGCATACACTATAGGATAAATGCAGCAAATAATGTTTAAGGAGAAGAAAAATAAGAACTATACATTAATAGAATGATAATAGAACAAGTAATTTAACTGCAGTCTTAAGCAAATGTCATTGTTATAAATTAACATATAAAATCCTACTACTTACTAATGGCAAGTAGTATAATGTCAACAACGGAAAGATAATGAACAGGTAGGAAAGGAATTAACACCGCCCCCTCAAAACCAGCCTGGTTTTCCCTACTCTACCTGCTAGTAAGACACAGAAATGGTACAATTTACTCTCGCCACATCTGCATCCCCTATCCAGCTATATATCCTACAAAGTGCTTATCTCTCCTCAATACCTTCTAATAGGCAAACCTTACGCACATCTCGGTTGACTATACCCCTCGTTGTCTTGATATCCACTTTTCTGATATACCCATCACAGCTTGCCGTAACACCTGTAATTATTCCCATTGACCAACGATTGCGAGGTGAAGGCTCCGCAGTCACTAGTACTAGGTCTCCCACTTGTAAGTTTCGATGTCGTTGAACCCACTTTGCACGCGATTGTAAGGTCGTCAAGTACTCCCGCTTCCACCGTCTCCAAAACGTATCGGCAAGGAGTTGCCCTTGTTTCCATCGTCGTGAATAACGTCCACATAAACTAACGTCGATTTCAGGAACCTGTTCAGGATTTCTTGATAAGAGAATATGATTTGGTGTCAGCACATCCAACTGACTTGAGTCATCATAAACAGGTACTAGCGGCCTACTATTTAGTATCCTTTCTACTTCTGTCAAATAGGTCATGAGTGATTCATCTGTGAGGACTTGCTCCTTCGAAACTGCGCTTAACACTCGACGTACGCTTCTGATCAACCTCTCCCATACTCCGCCACGGTGGCTAGCATAAGGTGGATTTAACTTCCATTCTATACCACGATTTGTCATAGCTCTCATCATACAATCACTGTCTAATTGTGGCACAACTTGCTGTAACTCACGATCAGCCCCACAAAGTTTGTACCCCGGTCACTGTATATCTCCCTTGGAGTCCCCCTGCGGTTGGTAAAGCGTGAAAGCATCATTAGGAATGAATCGATAGAAAGAGCGTAAGCTACTTCTAAGTGAACCGCTCGAGTTTTCAAACAAGTGAATATGCATCCATATCTTTTGTCTGTAGTCCGCCCCCGCCTAACGATAAAGGGGCCGAAGTAATCTACCCCGGTGCTAGAGAATGGAAAATCTGACGTGACCCTTGCTATGGGTAATTCTGCCATCAGTTGTTCAGTAGGTTTTGCAGACCTGATTCGGCAACCGATGCATTTATTCACCACACGCTTAACTACTGCCGCTCCTTTCAATATCCAATATTTCATACGCAATGCTGACAAAAGATGGGCTACTCCCATATGTCCTTCAGTCTCATGATAATAACGAACAATAACCTCCGTGACAGGATGAGTTCCTGGCAATATAACTGGATGTTTTTCCGAACTTGACAGTTGACTATTATTCAGTCGTCCGCCGACACATATCAAGTCACCTAAGATGACAGGATGCAGTTTCTTGATACGTTGAAGGAGTGGCTTGTATTTACTATCCAAATAGCGTTCACACATAACTCCTTTGATTTTACCGAACTCTTGTTTTTGCACGTATCTAAGGATATCTTCCTCTGCCTCTAACATCTCACACGTTTGTAAAGGGCCTTGCACTAGACGTTTTAGTAGAAAAACTTTAAACCTTCTTAACCAGGCTACCGCTCTACGAAGTTTTGTCCAAGAAGAGAAATACGAGAATAAGGTGTCTATCGGATTTACGGCTGTTTGTGTCGTTAAGATGGTGGCTTGCTTTAGCTTTATGTCAGATGGAATTATTGGCACGCTTTTCCATCGAAATTCGGCCAATCCTTTTTAGGATTTTGAGAAATTCAGGACCATCGAGCCAGGTATGTATACGCTCGTACTCACTCATCTTTATTCCCCTGGAAGCAAGGTCAGCTGGATTCATATTAGTTGGTACATGTCGCCATTGAGCCGCGTAGTGTTATCAAGTATAAACCCTACTCTGTTAGCTATGTAGGTTTTGAAGCGGGATGTGGTATTGCGGATGTAGCTTAACACAATCATAGAATCTGTCCATAGATAAACATCACTTAGTTCCAACTTTATTTCCTCTAAGATGTATTTTAACAGCTTCACTGAGAGCACGGCTGCTTGTAGTTCTAAACGTGGCACGGTGACATGCTTCAAGGGAGCCACTCTAGATTTGCCCATAACAAAGCTGCAGCTTACTTCTCCTGAACAGGACTCATAACGTAGATATGCTACTGAACCGAAACCTATTTCAGAGGCATCCGAAAATAAGTGCATTGAAACTGCTATAGGACTGAAGGTCTGGGGTCGAAAACAACGTTGAACCTCTAGATCCTTAATTCTCTTAATGTCAACAAGCCAAGCCTCCCATTTGGCACCGATACTCACATCAACATGTTCATCCCACCCAAACTCACTTCGGCACAGGTGTTGCATTACTCTTTTAGGTGGAAGTAGTAGTGGGGCGACAAAACCGAGTGGATCATATAAAGAAGCTATGCACGACAAGATTCCCCTCTTCGTTATCGGACGTACTGGCAGATTTACTTCAAACTTGAAGCAATCTGACTTGACACACCAGCATAAACCCAGTGTCTTCTCGACATTCGTCGAATCTTCTAAATGCAGTATGTTTGAGGACCGTTCACGAACGGGAATGTTGGATAACACTTCTTCATTGTTACTATTCCATTTGTGCAAACGAAATCCACCAAGAGAGGCGAGCTGACGCAGCTGGTTGGATAAAGCTATGGCTTCTGCTACTGTTTCTACTGAGACTAAACAATCATCCACATAGAAATTTTCTCTGACAGTCCTTAATGTCTTCTCGTCAAACAATTTCGCGTTGTCGATTGCGGCTCGTTTTAAAGCATAGGCTGCACAAAAAGGTGATGAGGTAGCACCGAAGGGATGTACGTTTAATTCATACAGGCTCGGTGGTAAGTCCAGTCTACCCTCAGAATACCATAAGAAACTAAAGGCACTTTTATCCTTGACAGGTAAGTGAACCTGAAGAAACATCTCCTCAATATCTGCTGACAAGGCTATCCGATGTTTTCTAAATCTCAATAGTACCCCAGCCAAGTCATTCATCAGATCAGGTCCCGAATACAGACAATCGTTCAAGGACATTCCCTTACATTTAAAGGCACAATCGAAAACCACTCTAATTTTACCAGGCTTGCGGGGATTTATAACTGGGTGGTGAGGGATAAATCTACGTTTCTTGGAGAAGTCGTCAGGAACGCGACTAATATAACCCTTCAACTCATGGTCTGTTAGTATTTGATTGTAGGACTTTAATAGGCTTTCGTCCTTTTTTAGTTTCTTCTGAAGACTGTCCAGCCTGCGTTCTGCCTCAAACCTATTAGGCGGTAATCTACGCCAGTCCTCTTTCCAAGTCAATGGAACTTCATAATGTCCGTTCCGCAATCTTATCTCCCTATCGGTTGCCTTCAGAACCTCTTTATCTATTTCAGAACTGGACCTTTCGCATGAGTGCTTGTCCTGAAATTCAGCTTCAATCATTCGCAAAAGCTTGTTCTCTACTGATTCACTTTCCTCTAAGCAGAAGATAGAGGTTGCTTCTTTATATTCGTTTCCTGAACCCAATAAATACCAACCAAAAACTGACAAAGATGCAAACGGTTGGTTGGATTTCCCTATACGCTGCTCCAGCACCCAGTGTGCTTCAGGTACATTAGTCCCAATTAGTAGACTGACCTGTTTACATTCGACGTCTAGAAAGGGAATTTCTGCCAGGTGAGGCCATTTTTTCATCTGTTCGTTTGAAGGAGTCTTAGGTCTCTTTACAGGTAAGCTTTCCACGGTGTAGGCACTCTTGACCCTCGTCTTGTAATCTCCCGTTAAGGATTCAACTTCGAAATCAACCTTAGATGAATTCTGAGAAGTAGTTCCACAGAAAGATGTTACCTGCATCAATGTATTAACCCCTTCCAGTCCTATTTGGCGAGCAACATGACTCAGCAGTAGTGTAGCATCTGAACCATTGTCAAGAAAGGCATAGGTATCTAGAAATCCTTTAGGACCTAAGATACGAATCGGCACATATCCTAAAAAGGAAGTTCCGGATTCCGTGCTAGAGTAGTTGACAGTCTTGCATGCTGAATTATCTTCATTGTGTAGAAGTTTATGATGACGTCTAGTGCATCCTACTATATCGCAACCTCTTGCTGCACGACAAGTGTCAGCTCGGTGATTAAGTTTCAAACAGTTGAAGCACACCTTATGCCGCATTGACACTGCTAGTCTCTCTTTGTGACTCATCGACAAAAAGCGTTGACATTCCCATAAGTCGTGATCTGTGAAGCAAACTATGCACGACTTCTGGGCTCGTGACTTCACGACATTAACACTGTGCGAAGGCATAGCTCTGGACATTTTATCGTTGGACCCTACTTCGTTGTTGTTCCTATTCCCATTAGCTATCTGGCCGTAACAGCTTGTAGCCAAGGACAGTTGCCTTTCGAGGAATTCTTTGAGGTAACGAAAGCTAGGTTCAGCAAACTGTAAACCATCGTTTACCAATTCTGCCCACTTCCATCGTAGGTGCCGAGGGAGACGTTGAACAATGCACTTAAGGTTGGTAGAGCAGTCCAAGTCTGCCATGTGATTCATCTGAGATAAGGCTATCTCACAATTGGTCATCTGTCTCAACAACCGTTGTAGCCCAACTATATCTTCAGGTTGCAGCTGTGGGCCTGACAGTAATTCGGAGAGGAAGGCATCTGAAACTGCATGAGGTTGGCCAAATTGACTTCGTAAAATCCCCATGGCTTTCCTATAGCCTACCTCAGAGGGCAGTAGAATGCAATGCTCTATGGCCTCCTTGGCTATACCAACACAATTGTGTATAAGATGCATTAACCGTAGGTTGTCATCATTAGTTTGTTCTCCTATGAACATGTTAAAGCATCTTATAAACTTCAAGAACTTAGTCGGTGTACCATCGAACTTATCCATCTCAATTTGAGGCATTCTAATGGGGCTAACTGAGTTCAGGAGTGGTTGGACTGGAGTGGCAGTACAATTTGACCCTGATGGTTGTGCTGTACAATACATGGTGCTACCGTCTAGGAGTTGGCTTTCCGAGGGATTGGCGCAAGATCGAACGCAGCTGGCTGCAGTCTTGACTTGTTGAGAGCGCTCGCTCTTCAATTTTCGTTGTTTGCTGCGAAGTCTAAGCTCTTGAACCTTAAGCTCTAGGATCTCTAATTCGGTAGCCACATCCGAATCAACATCGGAGTCTACTACTACACTACCTCCCATAGCAATATTATCAAAACCTGGGCTGACATGAGGGGTGTGTTTAAAATTATCAGAAACAGATAAGGAAACAGGTAAAGAAGAAACTTGCGGTGAAGATAAATTGACTCGAAGATATTCTTCAGCGTTTTCCAGTTTTCCAGACATATTACGAGTAACCGGCATTGATAATCGTCCAAATAGATCAACAAGACCAATTTTGAGTACTGTGAATTTCTCCCGAAAGAAATCCGAAACGATAATCCAAACTATAGATTTAACCACACGTAGAGTGACGCGTAAAGTCCAAAATACAGGATATTCTGCAATACGGTACTTTATTACATAAAAATAGATATATAATATACAAACCTCAAAATGTGAGGTGTCTGTGGCTAAATGCCGTCAAATGCACAACCACTGTGCAGTCAATAAGTAAAAACAGCAATGCTGTGTCAAGGTCGATCCACGCGTCGGTTCAAACGGCCCGCGAATGCCAAGCAAAGAATAAACAAATATGAACAAACAACTTTCAATAGTAAAGCATACACTATAGGGTAAATGCAGCAAATAATGTTTAAGGAGAAGAAAAATAAGAACTATACATTAATAGAATGATAATAGAACAAGTAATTTAACTGCAGTTTTAAGCAAATGTCATTGTTATAAATTAACATATAAAATCCTACTACTTACTAATGGCAAGTAGTATAATGTCTAACAACGGAAAGATTGAGAATGAACAGGTAGGAAAGGAATTAACATCAGACTCATTTACCAATATCTATGGATCGTAGGAAGACTTCAGGTAGATTTTTGAGGTGGTAGTCAGGGATGGGCTTACGTTTGAATATAGTATGCAGTGAGAGACAACTGTGTGATAATCAGATATTAATATTTTAGAGATATTAGTATCCGCGTTTGGTGTCGACACTGTGTCAGCTATCTCCCGGGAAATATGCCTTGCCCTAGCTGTAGACTGTTCGCTATGCCAGCAAGGAATTGATCCGATATCATGCGTGCCATATGCATGATGCCAGGTGTTTCTGTTAACTGACGCTGGTGAAAATCCTGCTCTAAGGTATAACCGATATGTGTATTCGGTAATTTGTTGCCAGTATAAGAATGAAGTGTTGGTATCTGTTTCTGGTATTCATCAGACCATGGCAAGTTTTGTGCAGAAATCGCCACATGCTCCCCACTAGTTACATAAGATGTATGAATGGGTTCTGTTGGCTTGCTGACTGTGGTCTGTGGCCGATAATTGGGGTATTTTCTATAACTTTCAGTCGACAGAATATTAGAAGTGGGCTGGTTTACAAGGGGTTAAAAATAGTGGATGCGAAGAATAATGCCTACTGCCTTACTGTGCAGTATGTCTAGAATTAGGGATTGGATAAAATTGGCTTTCCAATTGAAACCAATTAGGCCTATCCCTAGGAGCTTCGTCTACCATATTTGACTTTCTCTTAGAAAGAAGGCCTAGAGTTGCTTTCGTCACTTTCATATCAAAGGGCTTTCTTGCTCCGGGTCTAGTATTTAATTTATTTGCTTCCGTCAATAAAGTTGAAGGTTGAACGATCAATTCATGGTTGTTTGCTCAAAATCAACTTCCCCAATTTTCGCGGAGGCATCAATACGACAGTCATTGTCTCATCGGTCGCTGTTCAGAAAGAAGATTAAAACACCGTCAGAACTAATATTGTGATTTATTATCGTAATATTTGTTCACAGACCTTAGTCATACGCGATTTATATGTTGGTGTAACAATAAAGAATCCTCGAGTCAACAATTGGTGTTTTGGTTTTTTCGTCCGTTATTACTAAGCGTTTCTGAGAAACTTCAAGCGACAGCGTGAGCCCGAGCGTAGCAAGAGCTGGGCATTAGCGGTTTACGAGAAGTGACTGACAGTTTCTGATATTAGAAACAGACTTTCACGGATTCAGACAGTTGGTGAAAGTTTGGATAGTCACCGTTCATCTTTCCTGGTGCCGGTCAAGTCCTCTTTGAACAAGCAATATCTGGAACATTTTTGGAATTGGGTCAAGTTCAACAATGCCTGGGTCAAAGAAGGGACAGAGTGTCCTGGATGCAAACAGGAAAGTAAGTCATGGTGTCAGCCACGTCTCATAAACCGTTAATGCCCAGCTCTTGCTACGCTCGGGCTCACGCTGTTCCTTGAAGTTTTCAGAAACGCTTAGTAATAACGGACGAAAAAACCAAAACACCGATTGGCCGCTTTGGAATTCTTTATTGTTACACAAACATATAAATCAAGTATGACTAAGGTCTGTGAACAAATATTACAATAATAAATCATAAGATTACTTCTGATGGTTTGCTACTGACTTCTTTCTGAACAGCGACCGATGAGACAATGACTGTCGTATTGATGCCTATGCGAAAATTGGGGAAGTTGGTTTTGAGCAAACAACCATGAATTGATCGTTCAATCTTCAACTCCATTGACACATGGTGACTTGTCTGTTAATTGTAACGATGTGTCTGATGTTAAGCATGACATGGTTGATGTTAATGTTTCGCCGTTCAGGGATAATTGGTGTTATTTGAATTCATTGTGTTTACTCGTTGTTTTCGTACCTTGTTTTTATTGCATAATTTTGTTAAAATTTTCGTCGTGATTACTTCCGAAGTTGTTTCTAGTCTTCTACATCCGTGAATGTATTGATTGATGTTAAGGACAGCAGATGGGTCGTATACGCCGGGGAGGCTAGGCTATTGTTGAGAATGAAATGCACACGGAGATAATTGTTAGCTGCGGTCCCAGACGCCGGGGAGAAAGAGTGTAAACGACTGAGGCTCGCATACGTCATCGTTACTAGAATTGAGGCAGGATGAGTGACAAGCGATTTCAGTGGTAATTGGTAGTGAGTAGATAAGAGGATGTGCGTAGAGTATCGTGAGGTGCTGCCATGGTCACGTTGCATTCTGCATGAGTCATTCTAGCAAGTGGCGATTGTGTTGCAAGATGTCAAGAAGAGGTCTCTATCTGGAGGCGCAGGTCGTCATTGATGTGTGAGATTGTGCTGTGGGTATGCTTGTGATGTGTTGGCTTTTCTGTTTGTTTTCCATTTCAGCTCTGTCCGTGTGACCCAGGTTCTCGCAATGGCATCCAAGTCGACGTGTATTGGTCGTGATGAAAAAAAGGGGTTGGATCTCTTTTCTGCCGGGGAGTGTCAATGTAGTCGAAGATTGAACGATCAATTCATGGTTGTTTGCTCAAAACCAACTTCTCCAATTTTCGCGGAGGCATCAATACGACAGTCATTGTCTCATCGGTCGCTGTTCAGAAAGAAGATTAAAACACCGTCAGAACTAATATTGTGATTTATTATCGTAATATTTGTTCACTGACCTTAGTCATACGTGATTTATATGTTGGTGTAACAATAAAGAATCCTCGAGTCAACAATTGGTGTTTTGGTTTTTTCGTCCGTTATTACTAAGCGTTTCTGAGAAACTTCAAGCGACAGCGTGAGCCCGAGCGTAGCAAGAGCTGGGCATTAACGGTTTACGAGACGTGACTGACAACTTCTTTTTCCCTTATCTTATAATCAGCTGGCTGATGATTTCTAACAGGGCAGCCAGCACATGCTATGTAGGTGTTTTTTGCTTGGATGCCTCATGAGCTTTAGTTTTCTTACTGGAAATAGGACTTCTGTCATAACGGCTAGAAAACTGGCCAACTTGGGTAGCTACATTCTACTGGTGCTTCACAGAATGTGGATTGGCAGACTGAGGAGTAACTGACTTATAAGGCGATGGTTGGAACACCAGTGGGATGTACTTTGATGGTTTCGGTGTCTTGACTTTTGCGTCAGTGTGAAAACGATGTATTTCAACATTATTTCTTGTTGACTCATCTATGTCCACCATTTCAGTGTCAGCATCAATATCGTTATATAATGCTTGGCTAACATTAGCCACTGCCTGCGAAAATGTCTGTTGCATGCCATGATCAGGTATTTCACTAGACGGAATAACGCGTAATGAAGTAGACATCAACCCCAATTTCCTACATTTTTTGTGCTACATACTTGGCGTTTAGCAGTATACAGACTTGCAATTGGCTAAATAAGGCGACTTTAGCTTAACGAACATTACGGAATTATTATTCAACTTGCTAAATCCTACTTAGTTTTTACAATGTGCTATTGTATAGAAACAGACGCGAAATCCTATGAATGATTAAAGTATGTCTCATACTATAGTGAATCTCCATTTCACTAACTAGGCTTAGCATACAATAAACCGAATTCACGTATTACAAAAGCTCATAGTATAGCGACGCGCTGAAGAAGTTCAAAAGAAGTAGAAATGATGAGTATATTAAACATTTTCTTAATTTACAGAAAATTTTGATGAAGGGTATTAGCGTTAGTTTGACAGATTGACATTTTCACTGATTTCGCATTCCACAACCTCCATATACCTAAAATATGAAGCAAAACACGAATTTATGAAAGATAATTTTATATATTATTATACACTGATTATATTAATACTAAGTAAAGTTCTCATACAATTAAAAGCATTTGTAGTCCACAGCTGGTCTTTATACTGACGCCATATGCATAAATAGACCTCATAAGTTGTCCAGCATTAGAGGATTACACGCAAATTTCAAGATAAACTCTGAAGCACCCATAATGCTGAGACGTCATTCTCTCATCAGTTTCATACTGAATACGTCTACGTCAAATGAGGTATTGCAAATGTGTAGCTTTGAAATTGATCCAAAATCTCAGTAATGTTTAGTGAGCATAGTTTTCTGAGTCCTACAGAAATTACATTCTCATATTTAGGAATCTGTAGTCATCATGTATAAGCTGAACATTCCTCAACTCTAAGCAACTATGCAGTGTTAACAACATAGAGAAACACTTAAAATATTGTAAGATACGCAGACCTGTTGTGTTGATGAGGATAACAATGAAATATAATGCAGCCTCGACATTCAATCGTGATACTGCATCTGTACTGTTTCAGGTAAATGGAAATTTCAGAAGAAATCCATCTCCACTATTGGTGATTAAAAACATTACAGTATTAAGTTTACAGTGTCAGACGGTATACCGTCTATAGATTAATAATAATAATAGAGCTAACTAGATTTAATTCTCGTAATCAACACAAAGCATGTGTATATTATTACTATACACTGAATAATTGCACTAAGTGAATCAGTGAGGAGAATTAAACGAGTTATTGCCTTCTTAAATGCACTGCACTTGCAACAATCGTGAGAACCACCTACGTTTGTTAGCGTAGGAGCAGCTATGCACACAATGGCACAATATTAATAAAGGTATCTTTTATACATTGAAATCACATAGACCATATTATACTGCGCCAATCAGTGTAAATATATATTAAATCCACTTAGAGATAACCTTTCAACTTACCGTTATTCCTGTCCAAACACACATACAGTGAAAGACACATCTACAGCATAACTTCTGTTCCCACAGGAGGTTCTGTTGGTATTTGTAGGTGATTCCCATGTATTGATAGCATTCTTTTGCCAAATAGTACTGTTCTTCACACGAAAATAGCCACATTTAGACGTTGTCTTCATTAAATGGTATTATGTCGAAAGCTGCAGCTTCTAAAAGAAGTAAACTATTTGTGTAGACGACACTACTCTCCAACTACCCAATCTTTTTCATTATACCGATGTTTTAAATCATTCAGCATGAAAAACTAATCGTTGCAACCCATACGCTTACAGTGTATCGCAGTAAGATTACATGACGCGGACACCAACATAACTAGCCAGAAAATGAGAATTCCTATCGATTCAGAAAACATATACCAGGATTTTATTGAAAATTATTGATAAAAAAATTTACCGAGCGAAATTTAACCAACGTGCCGGATAAGTCCAGCCCGCAACTACATTACATTGTCATCCTAAAGAGCTCAATGTTCAAGGTGCCTGGCACTTGTACCAGGCCTGTATTTTAATTAATAAATGAAACATTGGCCCATATGCTGTTAGTTCGTTACTAATTTACGAAACTTTCTGCTGGTTCACACATATCTGTGAGGACGTTGCGTCACGGTGTCAACAGTTCGCCTGTTAAGAGACTGACTTCACTTGGGGACCCCAAAAGGATATACCGATTATGTCTTAGGTCATGGTGGAACTACTTGTCAGCCTACCAGATCACTTACCGGCCATTCAATTCGATTCAGCTCAAAATAATACAGTTCTACTGACCCTAGGAAGTCACCTTATATTTCATGAATTAAAACCAAATTACATACAGCAGTGAAGTTTTCGTGCAATGGAAAATCCGTCCCTGATAGGGGATCCTCAGTTTGGCACAGTACCTAGATACAAAGTCATTTGCAGCACTGCATCATGCAGATTTCCATAACATTATGGTGACCTGGTCTGTGGATTAATCTTCACTCACAGATTGTAATACATAATTGAGGGGGTAGTTTTCCTATTCCTGACAGAGGATTTCTACAATAAATGAACTCTTGTTACCTGATTGGACAAAATTAACAACATATTAAGAGTGAACTTTGAATATTGTCCAATGTTTATCCAATGGGATATGGTCGTTTTGGGAATACATTTAAGTACTAGATAGGCAGCCGTTTACCCACCACAGTACAACTGTTCAGTAGCTTATGAAGTGCAGTGCATTGATATTTTGATCCATACTTCCTATGGGAAAAGAATTCAGTACAGTGTGTATGTGTGGATTCTCGGAGCATGTCTTCCTGACAGCAAATCAGAGGAGAGAAATACTACTTCAGATAAAAGTCTCAAGAAAGGTTCTGGTTCCACCCCACAAATTCAGTAACTTCCATTAAATCACGTTTTCACAAATAACTCCATAATCAGAAATCACATGTGTTCTTTTGAATATTTTTGAAGTTACAAGTCACATCTTGAAATGTATGCAGCACTCATTTCTCTAGAATAATGGAAATAGGGGGGTTATAGCTCGGCATTATGTGAGATATTAAGCTAAAATGCTATAAAAACATTAGATTTTTCAGAACCATGTTTTACATAGGCAGTTCGAGTGCGCTAACAGTGGGCGATTATATAGTGAAATTCTTTTGATGATATGAACTACCTGGAATGGTTTGAGCCCCTAGTTGACGATAGACTTTCAATATCTACAGGACACTGAGGAACAACTTCACAGAGAACCTGCTTCACATGACGCCAAAGTGTATTTCAAGCCCCTTAATTCTTTAGAGAAATTTTCGAATGAATGCCAAAGATATATTGTCAAGAATGACATAAAATAACGGCGTCTATAGTACAGTTGTTCAAAATTTGGAGATCACCTAATAGTGGAAGCGGTAGACAGGTCAGGATCATATTAAATGAGCTCAGACTCTGGGCAAGAGGTCCTCTTGAAATGAAGTAGAATCAAAGAGTCTTGGGAAAAGATCAGTGTAATGCATGCTGTAGAAAGCGGACATAGGATCTGTTTCGACAATGCCGACACTCAGGGAAGAGGCTTTCATTCCCATTAAGAAGGCTGGTCTCCCAAGCTCGCATATCTTGACAACTTCAAATGCGATAAATAAGAGAAAAGGGATGGATTTGTCAAGCATATGATAGACTTTTATGAAGATAAACAAATGAAAAGACATTCAGTCCTATTTTACGATCTCCGTGAGATAGTACGTTTTCCACATGCGAACTAACGTATTTTTCTTATAAACACAAATATTCTCACGTAAACAAATATACACATATGGCCATATGGCGCTGCGAATATGTAATGACAGGTCATAGCTGTCTAACGACAAAAACCTTTAAAAAGGTTCAGCTCAGTTTATATAATATCTGACTATGTATTTTTATGGTTGATGAAATCCGAGCAATCCTGACGAAAAGCTGTACTTTACGTGACCAAATGTTTGGAAAATTGTGGTTTTAATTTTTTTAGCACTCTGAGATCATTTTAAATACTTGATATTTTTTGACATGCAGAGTGGTTAAGATTAGCTGAAACATTATTTTAGTCAAGTTGATAAAACATGTCACGAGAGTAAACAATTAAATGTGCAGTGTTGAACTATAAATTCTGATCTGCACATTGAACTTCCTCCCTTCAACTCCACACCAGTGTATCCACGGAGAACAACGCTCAATGCTCATTGCTGGTTTCTTACTTTGTTAGTACTATTACTCGGTGTTTCCGAAATCATTTTGACAAGATAATCGGTCAGTAAATTTACATTCCAGCAAGTTCTTTATAGACACACAATGGACATTTACGCCTAATATTCTACGGTACGGCTGTTAGTTAATTTTGAACCATTGTAATACATTTTGAGTACGCTGAGGTGACTGGTTTCATCTACATGGTGACTGACTGCTACACAGTCTCCTAGTCGCTTTTTGTATTTAAGTGATTTACACTCCTGTCTACGACTTCTGCCTAAACAGTTTTAATTGTTTCGACCCAAGCGATGCTTAACCAGGGACCCTAATTTGTGAACCTCTCTGTAGCTAACTTTGCTCCGCAATTCGTGATAATTTATAGTCTGGTATGCAGAAGGACTAGCCATCTTGTTGACACGAGTTCCTGTTCCCGGAACTCTGGTGAACGCCCAAGTAAATATGACTCCAATTTCCACGCTGCAAAATACCTTCTCCAGAAAGCTGTAACCAGGTCGTATGCATTGATAGGGTGGGTCGAACATTATGAATACACCACAGTATGTGCTTGTTATCAAATCAAATTAAGATAGCAAGTTTTCAGGGTTATGAAATAAACTAAAACAAAATCTTTTTGAAGTTTTCACGAAGTATGTCAGCGACATAATCTAAGTAATATCTAGTTTGGTGTAAAAGTTACACAAATATCTAGGAGTCGAATATCCCTAGCTATCTGCAAGATAATGGTCGCTTAACAAGACAATTTTACACTAAATGATCTGTTACCGCTCCCGGTAATTTATAAGGGTGCAACACATATGTACTTCGTTGTTTATTTGAAGTGTAAAGCATACCAGTTGCTATAATGCTTTTTGAAATTCTGTCAACATGACTGACGTTGACATCAAAATTATCAAAAGAACGCAGGAGACTTTAGGGAAAATAATTAAGAAACCTGTTCTCACGGAGAAACTTTTAGGCAGACCCCCATTTCGTTTCTTGCATGATATATGCACAGCAGTACATGGATTTTTCTAACATATTAGCGTTTTTCTAAAGGTTATCAGAACTACGGGTTTAATGAAAGGCCTTTATAATCAGGAGGAACTAAATGCTGATAATGTTAAGGACAAAGATAAGAAATTAGCGTTTCTTCAGAAGCTGGTAGATTTTTTGGCCGTTGTGCATGGTCGCCCTATTCCTATTAGAATTATGAGCATTGTTGCTGGGAAAGAGGCAGAAAAAACCAACGAGATGCTATGTTTGCTTGCTGAAGCTGTTAATAAAGGGGTTTGATATGCCTTCGATAATAGAAAAATTTTTCAGGTTAACAATGAAGATTGTGTGGCACGAGTACTTCAGGGAAATTTGAACCAAAAGCTTGACAGAAAGCAAGAATCTGAAGGTAAACAACAAAAAGAAAAACCCAACACTGTGCAAAGTACTATGGATAGTCAAAAAAATGAAGTCAGAAAGAACAGAAGAGAAGATAATCGAGACGACATTAAAAACACTAGATCTGGTGGCGGGTCCCTAGCTGATAGTGATAAAAGCTTTGGAACCAGCAAAAAGGTAAGTAATATGTCAACAGTTTTTCTTGATACAAACAGCCTTATAACTCTTGAGAAATGACAACAGAACATATTTATTCATCATAAGATGAAGAAAAAATTGAGAAATATTTTTTCTAACGTTTATGTGATTGTTTAAAGTCTTTTGCATAGTCAAAAATTGTAGACTGCATGTTTTTAGTTTCTTATTTAGTGGAAGGTAGATGGATAAATGACATGTAAGTGCTAATTTCTTCTATACAACAGTCTCCAGGTTAACCACCAACATAGTGTATATCATTTACACAATGATTTATTTTAACAACAAATCACCGAATTGAACAGTAATAATCAAACAATTTATTTTGATATCAAATTATTCTGGAACTTAGTTCTAAGTATATACGTGTTTAATGAAATATTTGCGGTGAAAACTATATTGGCAAAATGAAACATTTGGAATGGATTTTAAAGGTATCGGTAACTGTAAGGCTGCTTACCGCAAGGACTGCGTTTTGAGGCGAATGATTTTCAGCTACTCATATTAATCATCAGTGTATACTATACTACTCTATTTAATTGCATTCAGTCAAATCATAAGCTCCATGGGCTTAAGTAAAGGTTTAATATGATTGTATCAGGAAAATATAGGGTAACGTTTTCATGTGTTAACAGTCGTGTGCGTATGGATAAAATTGGATAAACGTAGATAACGCAAAGAGATAATAGTACTAATTTATAAATGTACATGGGTACAAATAATTATGATAAGATAATTAAGGTGATTTTGTGTTTCAGGGAGATACAAACCTAAGTTTTAAAATCAAAATTAAAAGGTTTGGTTTCTATGCAGCTTGAGAATATCTCGATTCCGAAACCCAGACACCAAAACGTCCTCTCTTTCACTTACGTTGACATACAGTACCGTATCAGCCACAGGTGGAACTCATGAGAATGTCAGGACTGGATGCGGAAAACAAGATAGGTTATTCGTTACACTGTAATAAGTATGAGGATCTACAGCACCTAGGATAAGGAATAAGATCTGAATTTTGTTTACCACTAATGTTTAGTCGGTAAGCGACTGTAAATGGTTCAGGAAACTGACGCACACATCACCAAAAACACTTCCAGTAAATTGCCGCAGGCTTTCACCAACATCTAGCTGCCTCGTTTGATATTGAAGACCAGATGACCAGAAAAATAAACAACAGGGGACTCTGGGTAAAAATCTACTAGTCAACAAATTGCAGCGTGAAGTGGAAATGAATCGGGCCTATATCAGAGTACCTTCATTTGCTATCGCATTCCGAGCAGCTCATTGAATGGAACCCTCACTGGAAGCGACGAGTCGAGCATGGAAGTTTGTGGGTAGTCGCGTATCTAGCTAAAAGTTACAGCAGGGAATCGAGTGGAATGGAGATGTTCCGTTGTAGCCCTGTGTCCCACTCGGAATTCAAGGTATGAATAATAATTATGGTACGGGGAACAAGATTTAAATCATTACTTAGTTATAGTATGGTTGACTGAAAGTCTGATTTGATATGCTCAAAAACTCAGTATGCTAAATATATGATGCATAAATGCGTAATCCCAGTTTCTTATCATTTTTCTTTTTCACTATTCATCTGATAAGAAAAGCCTCAGGTTTTTTCATCTAACGAATCTTAAAAGCTGTATCACAACAGAGGGTGAAATGTTTTGTACATGAGATAGGTATGAACACATCAAGCGAATAATGTCAATCTAAGCTTCAAAAAATAATAGTGAACACTATGGTTCAAACACTTTTACTATAAAAATATCGTACTTTTTTCTTCACTGAGTACTTCTAAATTTACTTAAGCATTTACTTTTGGTAGGCTACTTTCCAAACATGATGATAGACGTATTTTTGACCAACCAATAAGCCTAGACGTGAAACAGAATTCGGAGAGGGGGGGAAGATTTCTTCCAGCTGGTTATGACATTTTTAAGCTGACTTCTCAAATAAGTCAAATGTTTTGTTAATTTTTCAGACTACCGCAGAAACAGTCAGTGCAGAAAAAGGAGATAACGGAAGAGAAACTCGTATGTCTCAAGATGCTAACAGTCGTGTAGCTAGTCGGTGTGAATCAAGAACACTAGATAAATCTCAAGAAGAGTCTTCAACAGCTATTCCTTCTAATTCAGAGATTTCATCTCAGCAATCTTTAAAACACCGACCAGTGTCTGCTAAAGGACAAAGAGTTATCAAAGATGGTAAGTCAAAGATTTACAGTAATCAATCCGCATTCAATACTGTAGATCATATGTGACAGAGTACTAGTTTATTTAGTTGGGCGACGTTTGTAAGTTCCTTTTTATTATGAACAGTGTTTCTATCGTTAGGACTCAGTCACCCAGAATAGCCTTCTCAATAGTAAAACTGGATAGAGGCACTACTGTATTATCTATATATTTATGAAATAAATAAAAAGTGCAGATTACTTTTTTCAATGGACTATTCTATAAGTTCATCATGTGAACACCTAGTAGATGTCCCAATGGAAATCGCATGACAACTTCATATCTTTGCGGTTAAAAATTACGTAAGGATAAAACTTGGGCACTGTGGTAGACTATAACTCCAATAATGGGTAAAAAGTTTTGTTTTGATAAATCACACAGTGTTGTACAGTAATTATTAACTGATAAAGTTTCGAGCCCAAATTATTACTCATAATAATATCAAGGTACTCACACAACTTTCTTGCTTCATGAGTAAAAATTGATTAGACATTTGAATAAAACCAATATAACATAAAGTAAATTCCGAAATAATATTAGTGTTATCATTAAAATACATTAAGATGGGAAATAAGATGTTTTTATAGTAAAATAAGAAGCTGTTTAGAATGTTATGTAGATTTTATTCAAATGTCTAATCAATTTTTACTCATGTGTATAATTGCACATCCAACTGCAAAATATGTCAATCTTCTCAGTAATTATTTTGCTATTTTGTTTGAGTTTTATCCGTTCCCCTGTTTATTACGGCATTTTAATTCCTAATTGTAATTTTATTAATTTGATCATTGACCGGAAATTATTCTGGAACTTTTATCATAAATACACGGAAGTACAGTCTAGTTGATAACTTCGTCGAAGAGAAAATTTTCTTCACTGCAACCGTCTCTTTAATAATTCCTATCATGTATATAAATGAAGCAAGAAAGTTATGTGAGTACCTTGATATGATTATGAGTAATAGTTTGTGCTCGAAACGTCATCAGTAAATATTACTGAATAACACTGTGATTTTATCAAAATAAAATCTTTTTTACCCATAATGGAGTTATAAATTGTGTCTTTGAATGTAAATCGTTTGTCTTAATATTAACTCCTCTTTCGCCTTCTGCATCATGATTTTCATTACTATTTTGATTTCAACTTTTTGTATTTAAACCTAAAATCAATTCTTGCATTGAAAAATCTTTTTCTGTATTTCACTCACTTTACCCCTGCTAGTCTAATGACCAGATGTATTGACTAAGCAATTTATCACGCTTCAAGTTAGATCACGAAATGATTTCATTTAGAGAACCATTGAAAACCAGGGAGTATCGGCGCTTGTTCCGCCTCAGTTTGGATTTCAGGCCAAAAGTTCGTTTATGATATTGGCTAGCAGTTGTGCTATTTATTGCAAAGTATAAGAGGTTAAAATTCATGAGGCATGGTATTTCGTCTCAGTGATTTAATGTTCAACGAACCCGCTTCGTAATCCGAAGCTCCTGGGTTAGATCCCCAGTGTGACTATAGATATATACTGATGCAGATTTGCAAGCAAGGACGAAAAAAGATGCTCAATACATCTTGGTTTCCAATGGTTCTTTAAATGAAGCCAATTCTTGGTCTAACTTTCCAACAACACAGTGCCCAATGAAGATGGTATGGGCTTAAAATCGGTACTACATGCCCTAGCCATTTCAATCGATACGGTATTACAAACGCATCTATCGACTTTCCTTCCGTGTCTGATACTGTACGCCTAACCTTAATATTACTCGCCATTATTTTACCACTTAACAAGTAATTCGTACGGCAGATAAATATTCACTTTGTTTATTTGTTGCTTTAAAAGAGAATCCTAACTAATAGATTACCCTCATAATTTGTTACATCGCCTTCAACGTGGAAGTCTGTCTGTCTGTTTTCGACATAGAACTTTGCACAAATGTGCGGAAGTTCAAGTCGCCACATTCCGTGTAGCACGCGAAGCAAGAGAAGAAAGTACAAGAAAAGCATAACAGAAACAACGTGGAAGTACTGAACACAAGAGGAGAATACAGATATATATATATATTTACATACAACTGTTTTTTCTCATTACTACAGCTCCACCAGATACAAAAATCTCAGTGAATCAAGGAGAAAATAAACCGGAACCAGTTTCAAAGTAAGACATTTTATCCAATCTATTTCATTAAACGTGATTATTATACATACGGGTGTATAGATTGTTTCTAATTAATTGAAGGCAGACGTGCTTTCTAATGACTGGTATTTTTTACGAAGTGAAATGCGCTTATTGTATGAGTACTGCTACTGTTATTACTCAGTTATTGAGGCGGATGTAGATGGAGTGAGATTCATACTCGAGACGTGTTGGCTGGACACTGCTTGCTTAAGCCATTTAGCCACATTTTCAGATGACAGAACATGCTCTCAATGAATTCTAAGTATTGTTTAGAAAAATAACTTTTATTGACTGTTTAATAGTCTGGGTGGTCCTAGCTTATTTGTCTGTTGTATAAACATCTTGAGAGTGTAGTAATTACATCTTGGCTATATACATTTGGTACTGGGAAGCTGTTTACTTCTTGCATTATTTTTCATTTTTTATGTAATTGGTCGTTTTGGTGTACCGTGATTTCAGTGAGTAACATAGTTATCATTGAGTTATTTGACCATGTTTTTTTCATAGGTATTTGTAAACTTCTGTACACCGTACTGGTGTAACGGTAGAAGACAAAAGACTTAGTGAAGGAATGTTTTCTCAAAATTTGGTATCTCTCTACGGCGAAATTATGTACACTTTATCTCAAAATCATGATTTGCAGAGATCTCCCGTGTTGTTCTATTTCTCCCCCTTCGTATTGTGTGAATTATTTGATCTCTTTGACGTCAAATGTATCTGTCCGCTGCTTAATATTTTTATGCCGCTGAGATTCTCTTTATATACTACTTATAAATCTGACCAGTAGCACATGTCACACTAGTATAATTCAGAATTTGTATTTAGATTATTGGAATTGTGGGAACTTTGGGTTAATTTCACTTGTTAATTTTTCGTCACGAACCAGCATCAGTTACAAAGATAACTGAAGAGTAGGTGGCACTGGAAAACTGTTTCGTCCCCTTTTTGGGCTCTTCATCAGTGTGCACCCACGACTTTGTCAGGGGTTGAAGCTAAGATCTTAATTTTGCAAAAACAAGCTCGCTTATCATTCATCTACCTAGGCGGCAATCCAATTAATTACTTGTGAATTCTAATTTCGTCAACTCGTGATTTACAGCTGCCCTCACCAGTTCTTTCGATGAGCATCCAAAGAAGAAGAGATACTAATTTTGTCTTTCATTTATCTTTTGAGAGGAAACATGTTATTTATCCCTAGTATTATCCTTATATGCCTTTAATTCTATGTTATTATGATGTATATTAAGCATATCAATTCATTTTACCTCTTTCAAATAATGTTGCTAAGTGATATTGGCCGGATATTCAGTCTGCTGACCGATTCTACCTTTTTAAATCTATATATATATATATATATATATATATATATATATATATATATATATATATATATATATATATATATATATATATATATATAATATTGCCGTTTGAACTGTTGTTCCGAGACAGTAAATGCTCTCTACTCATTGACCTGTCTTCTTCTCTTCTTGCGTCGCGTCCCAGTAGTATAGTATTGTGGTTGTTTCCTTTGTGAATAGTGTTTAGAACAGTAGGCTTGCAAATCTAGTATTTGGAAGGTCTGTTAGCGCAATAGACTCGCAAACCATTAGGTTGTATTTTCGGTCATATGCGCAACTTGAGGAACAGATGCTTATTATTTTAAAAAGACAGAAATTGAACATTAGAATCTGACTTCGACTTCCTTTGTGAACCAAATCGCCTATCGAATACTGCCTTGGAGTTTAAAGCAATAGGTAATGTGACTGAGTCTCATTGGGAGCGCACCATGTTTTCTCGGATATGAAGTTACACTCAGTTGAAGAGTTCCAAGTAGGACGAAATTTGCATCCTCGGTTCCATTACTAACTGACAATGGCAATATAAGAACAGATTAGTATTTACAAATCGTTGAACTGTCCGTACTAGGAGTGGATATATCAACAGGGATTGAGCATTTAGCACCGATATAATCAATCAATCAACGAAAACTCAAAATAATTTAAACAAATATCAATTTTTTTTCAAATTTTCAGTATTCCCTATGTATAGCGAATGGTTTAATTATATTCTAAATTTTTTCAAAAATAACACTTTAGTATTCTATTCATATTTTCTGTTGTTTTTTTCAAGTCCTAGACTAGCTCCACCTCGTCCTAAACGTTCAACAGATTTGGGAGTTGGAGACAGTCCAAAGTAAGTGCATAATCTGATGAATATAGATAAAAAAGTAGCATGTTGGTCTTGAAATTGTGAAAAATTTAATTGTTTTACTTCCTTTTTATGATACTTTAAATATCTGTAACTGAGATGATTAAGATACATTTTTTCCGAAAAGAACTGAAAAGGATTTCAGTGCATTATTATTAAACAGCCATATAATGCGTAATTGTACAGTATTTTTTCACATCACACTTATTTGTTGATTTTATATTGATACTATTCATTGCTTGAGTTATGAGTGGGAAATAGGGCTTCAGTGGAACATCTCCATTCCACTCAGTTCACTGCTATCACTTTGAAATGGCTCCATAACTGACATGAACTTTCATTTCTTCTTATGGTAATCTTCATTTCACTCTCAGACTGAAGCCCAACAAGTGACTTCCCATGCCACTCCCAGTCGATCGATAACTAACCTGACATATGGTGTCACCTGATGCCTCCACAGCATATGTTCAATCAGGGGAGAGTGTCAAGTGCAGACAGTGTGTCTCTTTTTATCGATTAGGAATTAAATTCCCTGTGTTACTTGTAGAATTCCAAAATACACTGGATTTCCTTAACGTATGTTAATACTTTAAGAAAATAATAATAGTCATTAATTGTTGAAAAGCATTTATGAAGGTGTTTCCAGGTAAGAGCGTTAACGAAAACAAAACAAAAGTCGTGACCAGTGGTCTACAGCAGGTAGGGCGTGAGGACAAATACTCGCGGATGACATTTGCTAGTGGTCGTGCCACTTCATAAATTGACAGAAGTTGAAATTCATGGACTACTGGGTCGAGTCCCAGTGGCTTAATGTCTATGAGCTCGCCTTGTAACCAGAAAGTGCTAGATTCGGACCTCAGTGGGTGCGTACCGATGAAGATTCCCAGGCACTAGGACGAAACAACTGTCCAGTACTCCCGAGTTTTCCAATGGTCCTCTAGTCGATACCATTTCATGATAAAATCCCAAAAACTGCAAAAGTTGGATAGAGAGTAACTTGAGTTGATAACAGAAAATAAAAAAACGTAATTAACGAAGGTCACAGTACAGTCATGCAATAAACACGAATATTTTCATAACATAATACTAAAACAATAAATAAAACACTTCTGACTGAAATTGACAATTGAATGTGAAGATCTTATAACACTTTAGAAGCTATATAAACTACACTACTTATCAATAACAAGTAGTATATGGCTGAAGTCACATAGGATGATATAGATAAGTGGTCACGGAGCTGGCCTCGTAACTTGAAGGTCCTGGATTCCATACATGGAGTGGTCATGATTGAGCATTGCTGAGTTCTCCAAAGTAAAACTAAACTGTTTTCCAGTACTTATTGGTTCTCGATGACTCTCTAAATGATGTTGTTTGGTGACGAAATTTACATTGAAATTAATCTGAATATCTACGAAACCTAAAATTTAGAAAAATATTTATTTCCATGTATATACATCTCTCCTCTAATTAATCGATGCCTAGGCAAACTGGTATGATGGCTGGATTAATTATCTCTGAATCACAACAAGACACAGATGAAGATGAGAATGAAGATTCGAAATTCGTCATTGAAGAAATTGTCAGTGGAATATCTGGTGAAATTTCAACAAATCAATGGAATAATAAAATTGAATCAGAAGAAAATCAAGAACATGGTATATATTACAAACAAAATTTATTTTCATTTGTCTTTCTCGTTTTTTAAATTCTATTGCTATTACAGATGGTCAGTCTGATTTTTATTACAAATGTCAAGGGTAATTTAAAATATGACGAGCCAGTCGCAGTCACTAAGTAAACGAGTGAGTGAGTGAGTGAGTTAGTGAGCCAGTCAGTCAGTGACCTAGACAAATCAAATCAAACTTGATACAAAGTGAATTGATTTGATGAATTAGTCTTTGTCTGGAATGGATCAACATGTTCTAGCATTAAATCTTTTTACATAGAGATGTTTAAATATGACATGTAATCACATCTCCGTCATATATCTGTCAGATAATTAGATGGTGGAATATTGAAGCATCAGTGAAACTGGTTCGTATTACCAGCTGGAACTGAACAGTTCACTTCGAAAGATCATATACAAAAAAAAAACTGAAAACTGAAACTGAAGACTAAGATATCATTAGTACGACACTGGTGTGTTTGAAGTAGTCAGAAGAGCGCCAGAACTTACCACGGTGTAAGTACACAAAACTGATTAACCTTAGGCTTGAAGAATAGTTTTCAAATGCTTACCATCAAAATGTTGAGGATTTTAATCAAGAGGCCTATACTTTTTTTTGCACAGTTGCTCATCTATGATCACTGGTATTTGAAAGACTCATCCAGATTTCTATGCAGTTTCCACTGATAATCTTCTCGTTATCTGGCCAGTATAACAATGTGAGTCAATCCAATTTACCAGGTCATTAGCAATTGAAATAAAAAAAGCCATTGATATTAACACAATAAGTAATCGACTTCCTAAACCTTGATAAGGAGGGAAACTTAGGAGCAAAGCTGTCAAACTCTCCTAGTAAGAAACACCGCTATCACTGAAAATTAGGAGCTCAAGTGTGAACCCCTATGTTTCACTTGAAATTCAAGGAAGTAAAATAAATGAAATAATAAATTATTGGTAGGAGATTCGTTTTCCGAAATAACAAAATAAAAGAAGAACTGATTCTTTCTCAAATGCGGTTGTATTAAATAATTGAGATGTTGATTGAAGTCGATTACGTCTAAACGAACTGTTTCACTTTTCACTTGAGTAGTTGGTGAGTAAAGTTTCTCACTACAGTATTGAGTGACAAAGGTGTATTGAATTCTGAAAATATTTAAACTGCTTCTCCTTCAAACTGACTTACTGACTAATTAACATTCAGTCGGTTAGAAGGAAGCCGTAAACATTTACTTTCGATTAGCAGAGTACCAACCTGAATAGCAAAGTTTCATAAAATATCGGAATGGCACATGCCTACTTTGTTTGACATTCATCGATCAGTTTTTTTCATTCGTTGTTTTGAAATTTCAATAACGATTGTGTTGTTTCTACAGGTTCAAATTGCTAACTTTGCGCCTGATGTTTTTTTTTATCTGGGCTTGCTATCACCTATGAGTGCACCAATGAATCACTGATACATAAGTGTATGTTGAAGGCGTGTTACTAAAAAATGTCTATACAGTGGACCAGAAAATACAGAAGATTATTATTATTCCTTTGGGTTCCGAGTGGAAAATAGGGCTTCAACAACACATCTCCACTTTCTTCTATACTCTGCTGTCCTATTCGGCTGCATCCACGATTGCCCATAATCTCTCATCCCCTTTTCACATGACCTCGTCCATGTCACCCTCGCGCCGACGACCCACTCGTCACTTCCCACTGGGATTCCTCTCAAGAGATGGCCTGCATTGCGCACGATGTCTTCAAACAGCCTCTCCAACGTATTCCCGATCCCCCTCACTTTTTTCCTACATATCTGTTGCGCGATCGGATCTTGGTCGGTTTGCTCCTAGTCAGAGTTTCTTGTTGCTAATTGTTTCCACCGGTCATTTGATCTTCTGTGTGGAGCCAGCGAATGAAGCAGCTGTCGATAAAAGTCTGCAACTGCCTGTTGGAAACCCATTTCGTAACACGCCGTGCAAGTTTCTGACCCGTATAGAAGAACTGACTGACTTCACATTTGTGTTGAATAGAATCAGAATCTTACTGTTTATGCTGCGAAGTGAAGAAGATTTCCAAACTGGTTTCAGGTTGATGAAGTCGTATCTTGCCTTACTGATACTTGCTGGCTGGTGTTGACATCTTCATCCGTTCCACCTGTGGTTGGGACCGTGATTCCTAGATAAGAGGAATAAGTAGACTGTTAAATATCTCCCTTTGATGGTGATTGGTGCTGGTTGTTGCAACTGTTGGAACTGTTTGGTTATCTTCATCAAGTCCGCCTTCTCTATGTTCACCTGGAGTCCTGCGTGCGTTGCTAGCCTCTTCAGACAGTTTTTTGGTCCTTGCCTGCAATTGTTCGAGTTTGTGTGACATTAAGCGTAAATCATCTGTGAAATCCAAATCTTCTAGAGTCCTCTTATCGGTCCAGCTTATTCCTGACTCCTCACTCCCCACAGTGATGCATAATCCATTTCACGTAGGAGATTACTGTTGATTAACTGAAAATGTTAGTCGTATTAAACAGTGTTCATTTAAAATTAAAGTAAAATTCCCCTAATTATTTATCTTCATATTCTTTCCAGGTGGTTTAGTGACTAAAATTTTACAGTCAAAAAAAGAATTTGAAGATGCAAATTTAATTAACAAAGAAAAATCAAAATTACAGGTGAAAATTATTTATTTATTTTCTTTACATTTATTTGATTGATAGTTGCGCTACCTATCTCGAATTGATAGAGGTTAAGATCTCCATTCAGTTGTTAAACTGTCAACACGTTCGCCTTGTAACCTTATGATCTTGGTTTAAAACCCACAGTGTAGTTATGGATGAGCAGTGATGAAAAGTCCTGAAGCAGGACAAAGAAGTTGTTCAGTGCTCCTTAGTTTCCAATGCTTATCTAACCGGTATTGATTAGTGATGAAATCTACATTGAAATAGAATTCGTCTTTTCTTTTTGAGTTAAGTAGTTACTGTTGGAACAGTTTAAAAATGAATGCATTCATTTGATAATTTTAAAAAAAATTCGTGGTTTTTCATATGAATAAAATAGAAAAGTTTTCATTACAATGATTAGTGCAAAAAAGTTGAATCAGCATCAAGATCACCTGATTTCTAGTTTTTTTTTCGCTCACGAACTGCGACAACCTCAACTGGTGCGTTTTTTCAACGTTTTAATTTTATATCTCTATGTATGTGTCTATTTTATTATTCACTACACATTTATTTAAAAAATGCTACATTTTCCCGAACAATTTGTATTTAATTGAATTTTAGATTTTCCCGTCGATTGATTGGACCGAAGTGCTCAGTCTCAGGTTGACATTTCGGCTTCTTGAGGAGATGCTTCAACGATGTCTGGGCATTTAATTAGTATTTAATTGGTGGATGGTGACTAGCAGTGGAATTCAGGATGCGCATTTCGTCCTATTTGGGACTCGTCAGCTGGATGTACCTACATTTCTCAGTGAGTGATGATATTCCCACTGAGACTCGAACCCAGTGCCCAAATAGGACGAAATTCGCATCCTGGATTCCACTGCTAGTCACCATCCACTAATTAAATTTGTATCTGTGTTCTGTGTTTTCGTCTTTATTAAACCACTCAGAAATTTGCTTTATTTAAAACGCCTATTCTATCCAGTAACCTACTTCAAATCTGATGACATTCAGGCGGGTGATTTCTATCGGAAATCAAAAACACTCAAATCGCCATGTGTCTTCTGTTAGTTATCGTAAATGACAGTCAAGGATGCAAGCATGAATTTATGATGCTGTGCACTACTAAGTGATTGATATCAGTAGTTTGATGCTGCTCACATCAATCCGTAGTGTTTACCAGCTAGATCTATATGATTTAAACACCGGATAGTCATTTTATTCGTTCAAAGTCGAGCTCACCAGAAGTGTACCCGGTCGACTCAGCTCAAAGAGCCGAGAGAGACGGAAGTTTTTGGTAGCCCACGTTTTAAGCAGGCCTCTAACCTATGGGAATAAATAATCATGTGTTTTTATTGCTTTGTTCAAATTCATTAACGGGGAACTTGTGTACACCAAGATTATTAGTGTTCTAACATGGTGAGTGATAGAATTCAGTCAAGACATTATCATGATATACAATTTGTGTTTTGTACATCAACAGAGATAAATATTGTTTTTTGATTTTGTCATTTCCTTTGAAAAGAATATTTTTGTTTATTGATATAATAGACGAAAGGATCAAATGAAATGGCTAAAGAATGTGAAAAAGCTCTACTAGAGAAAGAAATTAATCGTTTGTGTAATTCACTGCAGTCGTTATCACGTTCAGCTATTCCATTAAGTAAATTAATGGATTTTATACAAGAAGACTTAGAAACAATGCAACAAGAATTTGAACGTTGGAGGAATGAAAATTATTCACTTAAATCTCAGTTAAAACAACAAGAAAGGTAAGTAGTGAGGAAAATATTATTATTTTCAATATTCACTCTTTGAGTTCTGAGTGACACATTGTGCTTCAGCGGAACATCTCCATTTCACTTAGTTCTACACGGTCAATCTCAAGTGCCTACACAACTTCCAACATGGAATTACTTTCGCTTCACATAATCTCCTTAATGTGTCACCCTCAGGCGCCTCACTTGTCACTTAACATTCGGGTTCCACTGAATGACCTGTGTGTAGCGTGACGTGGAATGCCTCCTCAGATTATGTCCATCCTTCTGCATATTTGTTGAGCAATGGGTTATTGCCTGGTTCAATGCCAAAGCAATTCCTTATTGCTTATACTTTCCGTCCGGCCACCTGACCTTCACCGTCTAACAGAGTCAGGTGTTGATGAAAATCGGAAGCAGGCAGTTAGAGATTATTTTGATAATGTGTGAACCAAGTTTCTGAATCATTTACAGGCACTGACTAAGTTGACATTAGTGTTAAACGAAATTCGGATCTCGTCTTTGTGTGAAGTATTGTAGATCCCCGCAGTGATTTCCTGATCCGATCATTGTAGGCTTTGATATCATTATCAGTATCGCACGTAGTTTAAGTGTTGTTATCCAGGTACCTGAAAAAGATGACTCCCGTTGAATTTCTCCCACTGATGATGATTAGTGCATGTTGTTGTTGTTGTTACTTTGTTTGATGTCTTTATCACGTTTTTCTTCTCTATATTCAACTGAATTTCCCATACAGGAAGGAATTGTTTCAAACAAGTTTATTTCGTTTTAACAATTGATGAAAGTGATATCGTTTAATTCTACGACTTTTCGTCAACTGTAGATCGTCTAAAGTTACATTAGTGATACACAAGAATGAATGTTCACAAGATAGTATACAATCCAAAATAATAAAAATATCTCCAATTCCTAATATTGGCAATTTATTCGCAATACTGAATAATGGATTGTAAAATAATAAAAGTAATAATAATCATGATGATAACTGCTTTATTCCAAACATTACTTTTGGTACAGTGTGGAATTTTCAGCAAGTAATACAATATCACATTTAATCCCCTTCTGAAATTACATGGTATTGGAGAAATAACTAACATTGATATTAATGTCAATAAGAATAGGAATGTAAAATTACAATTAAGTAGAAGTGGTGACAACAATATATTAATGACGGAAAGAACAGAAAGAGTTTGACCATGGTAATCATATCAAGTTATTCAAACAACATTTTTCATTCATGTATATACATGTGTGTAATTAATTAGATATTTGAATAAATATAAATGAAGGAAAAAAGTTGTATGAGTAACTTGATATGATTATGAGCAATAAACTGTGCTCGAAACGTCATCAGATAACATTACTGTACAACACTGTGTGATTTATCAAAATAAAATCTTATCCATAATGGAGTTAAACTCTATCACAGTGCCCAAGTTTTATACTTATACCAGTTTGACCATGGATTGGTATCATTTAGAGAACCATTGAAAGCCTGCGAGTACTGGACAGCTGCTTCGTCCTAATCTAGGACTCATCCTCAGTACTCACCCACTGAGTTTTGGACCGACGACCTTCCAGTTACAAGGCAAGCTCGTATACCATTCAGCAATTGAAATCCAGTTTAATGGCCCATGAATTTTGACTTCTACCAATTTGTGGTTTTAGCGCGACTGGAACTATTCAATGTTATTGGTGCGACGTCCGTCCTCACACTTGACTGGATGGACGTCACTGGTCACAACTTCTCATTAAAACTACAGGAAACTCCGTCCTGTAGAATAGAAACAGCCGTTCACTTAATGTTTTGCAACAAACTAGTATTTCCGTAGAATGTTTCTACAAATAAGGCGTCGCAGAGATTTTATACTTAGTCACCGAAGCATAAAGTCTTTTATAATTGCTTCTAGTCTTACTGTAACGACTGAAGACAAGGGCCAAGCAACAGATCGTTGATTAAGGAAATCAACACGTATTTATATATTTTCATCTACATTATTATAGCTTATTCAAGCAAACAAACACAGTCTTCTGAATGGTTGTTTCTCACAGAATGTTGACCTTGCATCTCTTTGTGACTGTTTCTTGAATGTCAGGTCATCTATATGTTAACTGTATCTGCCTACGCGAGGTCCGCTGTGATTGGTTGTTGAATCAGTCTTTGTTCATATTTTCTCACGACCAATATTCTGGACACAAAAATTGACGTAAATTAATGTCTACCAATTGGCTAGCAGCCTCCTCTCACCACATTACCATCTAAGATGCAAAGGAAGATTTTTGTATAAAAAGGATACTTAGAGTCTGATAAGATAATATTCACAAATTTCTTGCATAAGTTCAAGTGTCTTTCCTCAACAGTTTTAACGACACATCATTTGTCCTACTGAAAGCCCTTAGTATCTTTTGTAATGTAAAAAATGTCTTTCTTTAGTCGTCAAGGAAAGATTAAGGGGGATCAATAAAAAGTATGTAGGATACAAGATGTGTAAGTGCATAGAAAAAAGGAGAGAAGAAAAAAAATTACCTGTACTAATTTACAAGATGATAGTAAGGGATTTAAAACAATTAGTCCCTTTTATAAATTTTGATAGCGTTATTAGAAGACAGAGACTATCTGAAAAATGTGATGTATTAGCGCTATACATTTCGAACAATCTGATCACACATTTACTTGTCAAGTCAATATATATAGAAAGGTTAAATTAAACAAAGTGAGAGAAAACGGAATTAAGAATAATTAACACAAACGTTTGGTAATCCAATCAAATAAGGATTACCAAACGTTTGTGTTAATTATTCTTAATTCCGTTTTCTCTCACTTTGTTTAATTTAACCTTTCTATATATATTGACTTGACAAGTAAATGTGTGATCAGATTGTTCGAAATGTATAGCGCTAATACATCACATTTTTCAGATAGTCTCCGTCTTCTAATAACGCTATCAAGATAGTAAGGAAAGTAAGTGAGATTCGTAAAGCTTAATTTAGTCGAGTAATTTATAATCAGTACAGGCTTATGTTACTGACAGGGATATATTCAAATTAACGAGGAGATTACAGACAAGAAGTGTATTAGGTGAATATCGCTTCTATTGGAAAAGCATATATATATATATATATATATACGTGAAATGGTCTGCATGAAATAAACACCTGGATTTCATCCCGTAGATCTACAACACAACTTAAAGTTTATTAGTTATTTTAACAAACTAAACGATTGATTAGTCTATCAGTTTTAGTGTTTTCTTTTACAGTCTGTTTATACTGTAAGTATTAGTGATAAAAGATACCTGCTACTCACTTCGAGCTGTTATTTTAGCCGTAACATTTACGCTAATGAACTGCTATTTCTCTTATATACAGAAATCTTTGATAGACGTTAGTGAGCATATACTGTTGCATAAATAGTGCATTTTTTCATACTTACCTAGTGATACTTCATTCCCAAAGTAGAAATACTCATTCACCATTATTTTGTTTATTATTTAGATTACAGGATTTGTGAGAATTTAAATTGATTTAATTTCACTTGTTAGATTTACTTATGAACCAACGCCAATTAGAGAGATCATTTAAAAACCAGAGGGGCACTGAACAGCTGTTTTGTCTCGTGTTGCGACTCTTCACCAGCGCACACCCACAGCACCACCATTGGTCGAACCGAGTACCTTCACATCCTCAAAAATCCTATAGTCTAAATATCAATCTCCAGCCAATTCATGAATGTCCTAGAGCGGTAGGGAGAAGTCGTGACCAGTGGGGTTCACAGTGTCGAGGTGAAGTGGGTGCTCATCGAAGGGACTGGTGAAGATAAAGCTTTATCACGAATTGCTTAAGTTAGAATTCATGGGTCATTGAATTTCAACCCAAGTAGCTAAATGATCAGAGGTCTTGGTCTTATAACCTGCAGGTCCCGGGGTTCTATCCCTGGTGGTATCGTGAGTGTACATTGGTGAAGAGTCCCGAGATAGGACAAAACATCTATCCAGTACTCCCCGGTTTTCACTGATCTATTCTGCTGATGTTGGTTCGTGACAAAGTATAAATTTTATTTATTACCCAAGTTTTATGAAGTGTTATAAGGCTGATAATAAACTTGATATATTGTGATTAGAATTTAGTAACTAGTGGTGTGATGTGTCCAGTCCTTTCTTTGGTGCAGACTGAACTCTATAAGTCATGTTTGCAATGTGGCCACCATTCTCGGTAGCACGAAACCTAAGTCCAAGGCTTTCTGCTGATTGCCTCCAACCACCTAATATCATCAAACTTAATATATACAGTGATCTGCTGAAGTGATTTTACTGTCTGGATCTCTACACATCATAGTGCATCAACTTTTCTGCACTACTTACTATTTTAATCATATACTTTGTGTGCTTGAATCACAGCATATACTTAAGCATGTTTGTTATTAGTTTTTAACTTACTACTGTAGTGGGTTTATAACGCACCTTAACAATGACGTGTATCGTAGCGTTTCCGTATTTACGTAGTGATATTGTAACAACAGAAGACAAGGGTCAGGCAACAGATCATTTTATTACGGAAATCAATACGTAAATTTCACATATATTATTATAGCGTAGTCAAGTAGGCAAACACAGTCTTCTGATTGGTTGTTTTCGAGCTCCTCGGAAAGTGGAGCCATCTATCTGCGAATCATATTTGCCCACGTTTAAGTTTGCTGTGATTGGTTGTTGAAACAGCCTTGTTCATATTTTCTCACGACCCATATTAGTGACCTAAACATTGACGTAGATTAACGTCAACCAATTGGCTAGCAGGTTGCTCTCACCACAATATAAGTAATATATTACTTAGAGATTTGATATTAAATTATGAATTAGTAAAATTTCCATGAGATATTTATTTGAACGTCTTCAGAGCTCTTGCTACTATGTTACAGTGAATGTTGTTTCACAGTTATACTGAGGCTTCAGGTCTCAAAGTTAGACATATAAAATCGCTTTTTCATGATTTTCTGCGATTGCATCAGGAATTCTTCGTTTATACTCTTATCCAAATTGCACACATTTAAAATGTTATATCACCATTCCTACTACTATGTACTTCTCAAAGGAAATGAAGGAAAAGTATCGTGAGGCGTTGATTTACATCTCATATCAGATAGTATTGCATCATATAATATGATTACTATTTTAGTTGAAAGATCTTGTACAAAGAGTAAGTATTTTACAAAGTAAAATACAATAAGAATTCTGTAATGTGTGTAAACACTGTCTAGCATTAACATATTATTATTATTATTATTATTATTATTTACACTAATTTATCTTGGTATTTTATGTGTAATTTTTGGCATTTTATCTCATATGAATCGCTTTTAAAGAAGTCTGTATATATATATATATATATATATATATATATATATATATATATAAAACTGATATTTTTGTAACATTTCAGTTTAACACAATCATGTATAGAACCTTTGAAAGCTCAGCTGGAAGAATTAGAACAATTTGAAAAGGAAAAAGAAAGGGCTATCGCTAAATGTAAAACTAAAATTCTCCACAATAACGAACGTATAGAAAATCTATTGTTTAGATCGTTAGAAAAAGTTTTCTGATCAACTTTGATTTTAATTTCTTTTGATTTTTGATTGAGAAAATAAATATATTTAAAATATATTCAGTAAAGAGATTCTTAAAGGCAAATATATTCCTTATTCCACCGTATAAAAGCATAATCATAAACAACCACATACCTTGCGAAAATTTTGTGTTTAAAGACGCTTTTACAGTTCCAGTCTTATATTGTTAGGCAATTGGTATTTGGTTGTGTTCTGTGAGATGAGTGGGTGAATTGTGAAGCTTTCGTTACCCTGCTAGGTAACATCTCTCACTCAACAGAGTTCATTGTGAAATGAACTTATTTGAATTTTCTATCTCTGGTATAAGTAATTGTATATCGTGACAACCACTATCATGATTGTTTGTTGATTTGCATCTCTATTGTCCGTTTTTATTCAATTAGAATAGGGACATTTTTATTCGTGTGATTTACTCTTTATTAGTTGGTAAATTTGATCTATGTCAATGTGTCTGTTAAAAGCTGCTTTATTTGAGTACCAGGCTTCTATAAATTCCGTGACATTTTTTGTGATTCTACTATAATCTGAAATTTCCACATTTCCCCCCAATCAATTGTTTGTCCATAATTGTTTCCGTACTTCGATATGAAAGAATATATGTCGTATCATTTCATAGCTAGTCTGTGTTCCTGCATTCTCAATCGAAGAGGACGTCCATATTGATATGCACAGTATTTATCATAGAGAAGGCAGAATTTATAAATTTTTTTCTGGTAGAATTGTTTTTAAATTATATAATAAATATTAACAAACAGCAGTAGGCATTTAAACAAAACAGTAATAGAAATTATCAATCACCACATCCGCCACATTTGGCGCAGTGCGTCGGTGGCACAGTGGTTAGGACTCTCGTCGACCATGCACATGGTACGAGGTTCGATTCCCTGCCGATGCACACCTGATATCTATGGTCGGGCTGCAGAATTTGGGCTACCGATATCACATGCTGAAAATTCCATGCCTATACCAAAAAATACGGTGTGGAATCAAGCTGTAATAAAAAAAATGTCGAATATCTTTTTGCATGTTTATAATGACGTCTTGGTTTACTTGCAAGACTCTCCGATCTTCTAAACGATTCTTTTCTTTTGTTTTCACTGGAATTATCTGGATTTATTTCTCATTTGTCTACAAAATCAGGATCAATGGCAGAATCATTAAAATTATAATTGGAGATACCTACTTCATTTATTTCCACTTGATCCACGTGTCTGATATGGATTGAATGATCTTCAATGTCTAATATTTTCACCATTCCATTTTCCATTTTTTGTGGTATGATTCCAACAGAGGGTCTATAGTCATTTCCTCAATAACAGTGTACATCAGAAGTTGTGGGCATTAGGTGCGTTGGAACAATTAGAGATTTGAATAGCTTAACGGAGCCTCCATGGGTGTTTTAGTACTGCGCATAGAGATATTGAAGTAAGAAGTCATCACATATCTCTCTAACTCGTCAAGATTCTTAGAACTCGTTGATGCTATAGTACTCTTTATTGTTTGTACGAAATTTTCTGTCAACCCGTTATACTGAGGATGATGTGGTGCCATGCACAGATGACGGCAACTTATAACACTAAGCAAGTCGTAGAAGTCCTCGGTGAAATGAGTACCGTTATCAGTAACTGAGACATCCTGACTTCCTCAGCTTAAAATCTTTCTCAAAGCTCTGTGTGTGAACTTTACGTTGGGACTATCCGTAATTATAACCTCTGGCCATCTAGAATAAGAATCCAAAATTACTACAGCACAGTATGAATTTAAGAACTGACCACAGTAATCCGCGTGAATACGCTACCATATCTTAAATGATGCAGGCCGTTGTTTCCACGATGACTTCCCATAGGACATTTTATACAAAAAACTGGAACAGCTCTTCGATCTTTTGCTAATATCAGCATTAATTTCCAGCCACCAGCACGTGAGGTGTGCTAATGATTTCATCTTATCAGCTCCCAGATGAGCAGAATGAAGATCATCTCAATGTCGGAGGAATAATAATTCTGTCATTCAGACGTAGATATCCTTCAGGATGAACTGAAATCTCATCTCTTTCCTTTTGAAAGTCCCAGAATCTTTGCTTACACTGAATATTCCAACCTCTGTTTGTTGCATTTATAGTGCTCCCATAATATTTCCGAGTATCGTGTATAAGTGAAACTCTATCCTGAGGTAACGGCTGGACTAACAAACAATCGGTGTCACTAGCAGAACTTTCAAATAATGAATAACGAGATAAGAAGTCTGCACGAGGTATGTCCTTAGCCAATCTGTGTTCATCGGTGTGTATGGGACTGTATAGAGAGCTCAATAACATAACAAATATGCGAATAAAAATCCAAGTCAATGAGATGATAGTGTAGCAATATATTATCAAAAATGCAGTAATGGGTTATATTAATAAAAAGGTTACTTGGATATACTGTTAAAGTCCACTGCTACAAGTTATTAATATAATCCACAGGAGCCTTCACTGTTGGAATTGCGTCTACTGTTAGTAGCTGTGAACCGGCTGTAGGGTTGTCTTTGGATAGGGGTAATAGACTCCTACAATAAATCAAAAGTATACAACACGGTATGAGTGGAGCAAGTAGGCAGTAATGGCTAGTGAGATGGCGAAGTTACCAACAGTATAGTGTAATCCCACTCGTCAAGTAATGATCTGAAACAGAAAGCAAAGCGCAGGTTAGCAGTGTGATCACATAAGTGTCGCGTGCTAGTAAAATCGAAGACTCAAGGTCAAGGATTTTATTTACAACTAATCACAGTACAATTACATAAGAGGGAAGGGGCGCTCCTATTGGTCATTCGTTGCCTCGTCTTGGGTAACCAATCCCTGCACACTTAGTAGTCGACCTGAAAGTGGACAAGCATAGTTTGAACATTAGAAAACCGCCGAACTTACCATGCCTTGCAATAGTGTATTTCGAATTGTACCCGTAAGTTATATGTATTTAAACGTGAATCGTTTTAAACAGAAATCATGTACAATGTCTCTAATGTCAACGTCAAACAAAAAGTGTACAATCATACTGTTACGCATTCCACACGGCTTCCCCCCCCCCACTAGGGGTCCGGAGAGACTAACGGAAACTGCCACTGTTAGTGAAGTAAATAATAATAGTAATAACCATTTTAGGATAAAAGTAAGGAGACCTAATAACATGCATGTATGCGAAAAGGTATTTGTATCGTGTAAAGTTTGAACGCATTTACAAATAGTTCAAAAACAAAAAGTGAAATAGAAGTTCATGTCAATCAAATGAGGTCGGTTTCTCTTTTCATAAACGATGAACGTAGATTTTTAATGTATAAACAAAGATATCTATATATACAATCATTAAACAGGGTGAAAGAAAAAATATGGATTGAAAATTGATCATGTCTGAAAAACATAGTACCTGTTTTGTAGCTGAGATACATATAAATACATAATAGTGATAATAATCTTCTATGATAACAGTTACAACAAAGTGTATGAAGAAATAGTAATAGTCATGATAATGTCTAAACGAAAAAAGTGTAATTTTTTCATCAGTCCACAAAATGAACGTAGCGAGCCGGTTTACTGATTTGCCGACCACTACATGTTTGATATGGAGGGTGGATAAGACTTGGTGCCATTGGAGTGGAATCAACTGTCTGACTATTTGGTCGTGCAGTTTTCAATGTAGCTTTAGTGTCAGTGTCTGTGTAGGCTGGTTTGATACGATCAATGGAAATAGTCTCACGTTTTCCATTTTTGTCCACTGTAAAGTGTTTGTCTGAATGTTTAATAACTTGGAAGGAACCTTCGTATGGGGGTCGCAATCCTTTTCTGATGGCGTCGCCTTGAACAAAAACGAATTCGCGAGTTTCCAGGTGTTTGTTGATCTGATCTCATCGGGGAGATTGTCGTGGTTCTGTTGGTTGAAGTTGGAGCATTTGTCTAGTTAGTCGGTTGGTGAAGTCATCAATGTTCACGTCCGTCGAATTGGCTGAGGGAACTAGCAGTCTAAGCAAAGTTAGGTTGGTGCCATAAACGAGTTGAGCAGGTTTACATCCTAAATCTTCTTTGATAGTAGATTGGATACCGAGTAAAATCAAGGGTGAGTATTCACTCCACCTAGATGTATCATTCTGCGTCATCAGTTGTGCTTTTCAGTTGTCTGTGAAATCTTTCCACAAGATCATTCTCTGCCGGATGATAGGCTGTTTGGAGATATAATTCACTCCCAGGATTCTTGCTTATTCACGAAACAACATCGATTGGAATTGAGCACCTCGACCGGGTGTAATAGTAGTTGGTACACCGTAATTTGACACTCAACGTTGAGAAAAACCAAAGAAACATTTTCTGTAGATATGTCGTTTAGGCGGCATGCAATAGCCCAACGAGTAAATCTATCGATGGCTGCCAGGATATGTGTATATCCTATGGACGTTGGCGATGGTCCTACACTATTATCTATATGAACATGCTGAAATCTCTTGTCCGTTAAATCAAACATCTTTGGCGTTGTAACAGTGTGGAGGTGTACTTTGGGGCATTTGCATTGGAGAAACTTCCGTGCCCATCTCCGAATGTCAGAGTTCATTCTAGGGCACACGAAGCGTTCGCTGATAAGTCTGACCCTGGACGTACACCAGGGTGCGAAAGCGAATGTAAGTGTTCGAACAAAGCTTTTAGGCAACTGAGAGGAACAAACGGACAGTTAATGCCGGTAGATATATCGCAAACTATAGTTGCATCTGGCAAGGGAATAGGCACGTCCTTGAATTGTAAGGGAGAGTTTCTGCGATAAGTTAGGTGTTCTGCTTCGTCCCTTTGTAACTGAGCCATACGGTCGAGACTGATGTCTACTGAATTATAAATGGATAAATGAATAGATTTATTCTCATAGTACAGTACATGAGGGACGCCAAATTACAGGTATCATCAAATTCTTACAGAAATAGAACCATATTATTCGGTCACATTTTACAGTCGAGCAGATGATTTAAAACGCAGCGAGAAAGAGAGTCGGCTACCACATTGGCCTCGACTTTAATGTAATGTATGTCTGTCAAGAGCTGAGAGATAAAATCTAGCTGCCAAGCATCGTTGGGTGAGTGTCTATCCAGTGACCTACTGGAAGCATAGCACAGGAGTTGTCAATGCAGTTGAAGATTGAACGATCAATTCATGGTTGTTTGCTCATACCAACTTCCCCAATTTTCGCGGAGG